ATAGCAATGTTCCTTCTATTTCTACTATGTGGAAAACTTTGAGGAGTATAGAAATTAGCTCTTCTTTGAAGTTCTGGTAGAATTATGCACTGAAACCATCCAACCCTGGGTGTTTGCTGTTGTTGGGAGGCTTTTGATGACTCCTTCTATTTTCTTACAAGTTCTAGGTCTGTTTAAATTGTTCAGATGATCTTGATTTAATTTTGGTATGTGGTACCTATATATAAAATTGTCTGTTTCTTTTACAGCTTCCAATTTAGTGGAGGTCAGGTTTTTGAAATATGACCTAGTGATTTTCTGATCCTCAGTGTCTGTTGTTGTGTGACTCTTTTCATTTCCAATATTGTTAATTTGGATATTCTATTTCTGTCGTTTGATACGTTTGGATAAGGGTTTGTTTATCTTGTGGATATTCTCAAAGAACCAGGTCTTTGTTTAATTGATTATTTTTATTGTTTATTTGTTTCCATTTTATTGATTTCAGTCCTCATTTTGAATATTCTTTGTCATCTACTTCTGGGTAAGTCTGCTTCTTTTTATTCTAGAGCTTTCAGATGTGCTGTTAAGTCTCTAGTATCAGATTTCTCCACTTTCTCTATTTAGGCACTTAGTGCTATGCACTTTCCTCTTAGCACTACTTTTGAAGACTCATGTAGGTGCAGGTATGTTGTGCATTCATTTTAGTTGAATTCTAAAAAGTCTTTAATTTCTTTCTTTATTTCCTCCTTGACTCAGGGGTGAATCAGTTGAGCATTGTTCGGTTTCCATGAGTGTGTAGGTTTTCTGTCATAAGTGTTGTCATTGAATTTTAACTTAAGTCTTGTGGATCTGATAAAATACAGGGAGTTATTTTAATTTTTTGGTATCTGTTGCTGTTTGCTTTGTTACCAAGTATGTGGCCAATTTTTGAGATGGTTCCATGAGATACTGAGAAGAGCGTATATTCTTTTGTGTTTTGGTGGCATGTTCTATAGATGTCTAAGTCCATTTGAGTCATGACCATCTGTTAGTTCTCTTTCTTATCTGTTAAATTTCTGTCTGGTTGACCTGTCCATTGTGGAGAATTGGGTGTTGAAGTCTCCTTTTATTAGTGTGTGGAGTTTGATGTGTGAGTTAAGCTTTAGTAATGTTGCACATATCTGTGTGCTCTTGCATTTGAGGCATAGAATTTTTAGGATTGTGACCTCATTTTGATATATTTTTCCATGATGAGTTTGAAGTGTCCTTCTCCATCTCTTCTGATTGATTTTAGTTTGAACTCTATTTAGTTAGATATTAGGATAGCTCCACCCGCTTGTTCCTTGGGTCCATTTTATCGGAAAATCTTTTCCCAACACCTAACACTGAGGTAATGTCTGTCTTTGAGGTGTGTTTCTCATCTGCAGAAGAAGGATGTATCTTGTTTTCTTATTCATCCTGTCTGTGTCTTTTTGTAGGTGAATAGAGTCCATTGATATTAAGAGATATTAATGGCCAGTAATAGTTAATCTTGTTATTTTTCAGAAATATTGTTTGAGTATTTCTCTTCTTTGGGATTTTTTTTTTGTGTGAGGCTATCTGTTGCCTATGTTTTTGTTGATTCAACTAGCTTCTGTGAATTGGAGTTTTCCTTGTAGTACTTTCTATAAGATTGGGCTTGTGGATAGGTTTTTTTTTTTAAATCCAGTTTTGTCATGAACTACCTTGTTGTCTCCATCAATGGTGATTGAACGTTTTTCTGGGTATAATAGTCTGGGTTTTCATCCATAGTTTTTTAGTGTCTACAAGACACCTGTCCAGGACCTTCAGGTTTTCATGATTTACACTGAGAATTCAGGTATGATTCTGACAGGTCTGCCTTTATATTTTACTGGGCCTTTTTCCTTTGTGGCTCTTAGTATTTTTCTTTGTCCTGTATGTTCAGTATTTTGATTATTACATGGACAGGGAACATTTTTTGTTCAAACTATTTGGTGTTCATCAGCTTTTTGTACCTTCATAGGCATCTTTAGGTTGGGAAAGTTTCCTTCTATGATTTTGTTGAATATGTTTTCTGCGCCTTTGAGCTGGAGTTCCTCTCCTTCTTCTATCCCTATTATTTTTAGGTTTGTTGCCCTTCATTTCTTCATATTTCTTGTAGTTTTTTGACACATCTGTCTGAATATATTTTCATGCACTACATCAATGGACACTTTTCTTCTGGAGATGTATCTTGTGCTGCAGTGTAGGGGTTAATTTATTGAAGTACCTATGGATTATTTGTAATTAATACCTTTGGGAATGACATGAACCACCATTTCATTATAATTTCTGTGAATTATAATGAAACTGGGACACTTATTAGCTCATATGAGTTGGTAGAGACAGCACAGGGTGCAGGGTGATTGTTGTCAAATTCCTACTTTGTGTATGGTGGCTAACAGAAGATGATGCAGATTTTCTCAGAAACTTTCATGGGCAAATTTGCTCCTCTCAAGGGTTATTTTTCCTGTAAACCTCAGAAGAGAGTGATCAGTATGATTTTCTTCTGTCTAGACAGTGGCATGGGATCAGATGCTGCACTGGAGGGTGGTTCAGAGAATTTGGTAACCACTTTGTAGCACTTAGTCCAAGCCTTTTATTTAATTTAATTTTTTTTTGAGAAAAGGAAAAAAAACAAGTTTCCGCCTCCTCCCAGCCTCCCATTTCCCTCCCCCGCCTCCCATCCTTCTCTCCCTCCTCCCACCCTTCTCCCCCTCCCACTATTCCTCTCCCCCTCCCTCTCCAGTACAAAGAGCAGTCAGGGTTCCCTGCCCTGTGGAAAGTCCAAGGTCCTCCCCCCTCCGTCCATATCTAGGAAGGTGAACATCCAAACTGGCTAGGCTCCCACAAAGCCAGCACATTAAGTAGGATCAAAACCCCATGCCATTGTCCTTGGCTTCTCATCAGCCCTCATTGTTCACCTTGTTCAAAGAGTCTGGTTTTATCCCATGCTTTTTCAGTCACAGTCCAGCTGGCCTTGGTGAGCTCCCAATAGATCAGCCGCACTCTCTCAGTGGGTGGGTGCACCCCTCGTGGTTCTGACTTTCTTGCTCATGTTCTCCCTCCTTCTGCTACTCATTGGACCTTGGGAGCTCAGTTCAGTGCTCCAGTGTGGGTCTCTGTCTCTATCTCCATCCATCACCAGATGAAGGTTCTATGGTGATATGCAAGATATTCATCAATATGGCTATAGGATAGGGTCATTTCAGGCTCTCTCTCCTCAGCTGCCCCAGGAACTAACTGGGGACATCGCCTTGGGCTCCTGGGAGCCATTCTAGGTTCAAGTCTCTTGCCAACTCTAAGGTGGCTCCCTTAACTAAGAATTGTGCTTCCATGCTCCCCTATCCAACCTTCCTTTATCCCAATCATCCTTTTTCCCCAAGTTCCCCCATCCTCCCCTTCTCCCTTTTCTCTCCCCATCTCCCCTTACCCCCATCTCACCCCACCCCCAAGATCCCAATTTTCTCCCCGGCAATTTTGTCTACTTCCCATAGCCAAGAGGATAACTATATGTTTTTCCTTTGGTTCACCTTCTTACTTAGCTTCTTTAGGTTGACCAGTTGTAGACTCCGTGACCCTTATTTATGGCTAGAAACCAATTGTGAGTGAGTACATCCCATGTTCATCTCTTTGGGTCTGGGTTACCTCAGTCAGTATAGTGTTTTCTATTTCCATCTTATTATTAAAAATTTCTGCCTCCTCCAGGCCTCCCTTTTCCCTCCCCCTCCCAACTCCCCATACCCCACTCCCCTCCTCCTCCATCTCCAATCTGAAGAGCATTCAGGGTTCCCTGCCCTGTGGGAAGTCCAAGTTCCCCCCTCTCCATCCAGGTCTAGGAAAGTGAGCATCCAAACAGGCTAGGCTCCCACAAAGCAGTACATGCAGTAGGATCAAAACCCAGTGCCATTGTTTTTGGCTTCTCAGCAGCCCTCTTTGTCCACCATATTCAGAGAGTCCAGTTTTATCCCATGCTTTTTCAGTTCCAGTCCAGCAGGCCTTGGTGAACTCCCAATAGATCAGCCCCACTGTCTCAGTGGGTGGGTGCCCCTCTCGCAGCCTTGACTTCCTTGCTTATGTTCTCCCTCCTTCTGTTCCTCATTTGGACCTTGGGAGCTCAGTCCATTGCTCCAGTGTGGGTCTCTGTCTCTATCTCCATCCATCGCCAGATGAAGGTTCTATGGTGATATGCAAGATATTCATTAGTATGGCTATAGGATCTAGCCATTTCAGCTCTCTCTCTCCTCAGCTGCCCCAGGACCTAATTGGGGACATTTCTCTTGACCCCTAGGAACCCCTCTAGAGTCAAAACTCTTGCCAACCCTAAAATGGCTCCTTTAATTAAGATATATAAGTCTAAACCTTTATAGTAGTGTGTGATTAGATGCACTATAGGGCAGGATAGTAGCACTAAACAATTGGTTGGAGACAGCATAAACTTGAATATTAACTCCTTTTGCTTTCTAGAAATGTAAGGAAGGCCAGGGTCCCAGGTGGTGGTTGTAGGACCTGCTTTACAAGCAGGTTAGTCACTTATCCAGTGTGGTAATTTGGTAGGTATAATTTTAAAACTATGAAAATCAAATTTATAATACAATAATAACTAATTGTACTTATAGCTTTGTGATTGAATGATGAATATTATGATAGTAATTATGATTTGGTTTAGTAGGAGCAGTATTTTTCAGTATATTCATCTCACTGAATGTTAGGTCTGAATATCATGTATAGGCCAAGGTTCAAATTTTTTACATTTGTCCAATACCTAAAGAAATACAAAAACATTGAATGTCTTGAATTCTTTAATTGACATAAGGAATCCTTTTTGTTGAAATCTAGTTATCTCATTAAAAACATTGTTTTGACACCATTTGCTATCCAATATGCACTAAATTTATGTGATAGTTTAATACAGGTTTTTCAAAATTTTAAGGAATTGGACTTGAAAAGTGAGTATATATAAGTGGATGTATTAATAAACTTTTGGTAAATTTTTCTTTCAGACCCATGTGTAATTTCAGAAGAGATCATGAAAAGACATAACATAACTTACAAATGGAAAAGAGGCCAGAAGCTCTATTCCGAATCAGGAGACTATGTCGAATTTTCATGTATAAGTGGATATAATAGGGCAAATGAATCACCTCCATTTCGTACAATGTGCATTGATGGTCACATCAATTATCCAAGTTGCACAAAAGAAGTTCTTGATTTAGTGGTTGAATAGACCTTTGTTTAGAAATAGTCATCATATTACTAATACAGTTTCAATTTATGTTTGAAGTATTGTTTAACTCATTTCTTTTTATAAGTGTAAATTTGTATTGATATATAGTGATTAATTTGGAGCCTGAGAAATAACTGCCACAAATGCAAAAACAGTTCATGAAAAGCTCCTATGTGCCTTAAAAACCAGAATGTGGTGTATTCTAGCACAATAATCAATAGAAAAAATATATGCAAGTACTTCAGTGTCTATTTCTACCCATAACTTTTCATAATCTCAACAATCTTCTCAACACATTCTGATCAAAACTTCTGACTGATGGTGAAAAGAAAGCATATTGTTTCATCTTTAAATTAGCATATATGTAATAATCAAACTGTCACATTTAACATTACTTATGAATATAAGTAATTGCTACATACTACTTTTGTATTAATAAACAAATCAAAGAAACATCTTGTGTATGAATTTTTGAACATGTTAATTTGACACATTGATATATTCAAGCAATTATACCTAGGAATTAAAATTTAACTGGGTATAGCATTCTGTCAGTGATATACACCTACAAAAATTCTGTATAACTATTAAAAGGGCAGTAAGCACATACATGCTTTATGCCCAAATTAATGAAGGGAAATAACAATAAATATGGTTAAATTTATCAAAATATCGCCTATATTTATCTTTAGAGGCTATAATGTTAAGAATTTCTATTTAATATATTAAAGACAGTTTCTAGCCAGGTAGTGGTGGTGCATTCCTTTAATCCCAGCTTTGGGAGGCGGAGGCAGGTTGATCTCTGAATTTGAGGCCATCCTGGTCTACAAGAGCTAGTTCCAGGACATCTAGGGCTGTTACAGAAAGAAACCCTGTCTCAAAAAACCAAAAGAAAAAAAGAGAGTTTCTATATTATGGTGGATGTACATATTAAGTTTATGATAGTGAAAAGGTAATAATTATTCAGCAAATACTGGTTCAATATATGAAAATCAATTATTGTAACCCACCATATATATAAACTGAAAGAAAAAAAACTCATAATCATCTCATTATGCTGAAAAAAAGTATTTGAGTAAATGTAACACTCTTTCATGATAAAGGTCTTGGAGAGATCATGGATAGAAAAAACATAAACAGAAGAAAAGCAATATACAACAAATTGACAACCAACATCCAATTAAATTGAGAGACACCCAAAATGATTCTACTAAAATTAGCAACAAGATAAGGTTGGCCACTCACTCCATATCTATTCATCATAGTTCTTGAAGTTCTGGATAGAACATTAAGACAACAAAAAGAGATCAAGGGGATTCAAATTGGAAGGGAAGAAGTCAGACTTTCACTATTTGCAGATGATATGATAGTATACATGAGTGACCCAAAAAACTCTACTAGGAAACTCCTACAGTTGATAAATACCTTCAGTAATTGAGCAGGATACACAACTCAAAAAAATCAGTAGCCCTGCTATACACAAATAATAAACAAGTTCAGAAAGAAATCAGAGATACATCACCCTTCAAAATAGCTACAAATAACATAAAATACCTTGGGGTAACACTAACCAAAGAAATTAAAGACTTGCATGTTAAGAACTTTAAGTCTTTAAAAAAAGAAATTGAAGATGATATCAAAAATGGAAAGATCTCCCATTTTCATGGATAGGTAGGATCAACATAACAAAAGACAATCCTATTGATATCTCTGTGGATTCAGGTATGAGTCTGGGACCACAGAGGGAGTAGGCATGAGCCAGGACCTCTGGGGGTTTGGGCATTGGTCTGGGATGTCAAAGTGAACAGGCAACAACCAGAAACATCTGTGGGTCTGAGCATATGTCTGGGAACTCTGGGGGAGCAAGCCTAAGCCAGGTTCTCTGTGGGTCTGGGAGAACCCAAGCTTGGGACTCCTAGCGAGTAGACCAGAGTCAGAGACCTTGGCAGGACCATCTCCAACCCAGGGACCTCTGCAGGAAGGGATCCAGAAACAGGTCAAAGCTAGTAACCTAGGCCAAATTAGGCCGGAGGCAACAAACTCCACCTTGGGCTAGAGCAGGCCAGAGGCAACAAATTCTACAGGAGTGGGACAGAACCAGCTACCTACCTATGCTAGAGTGGGCCAGAGAAAGCAAGCTCCACTGGAGCAGGAGTGGAACCAGTCCAGAGACATTGGTGAACCAGTACTGAGCCACCAACAAGGGCCATAGCAGACCTGAGGCAGCAAACTCCACCATAAAATGTACAGGGCACAACCATTGAGAAAGTGAGCTAGAGCCAGAGACCACTGAAAGTTTGGACTTGAATCTGGGACCTTCAAAGAAGTAGACATAAGCCAGGTCAGGAACAACCATTTGATTGTTGGATTCACTGGCACCTAGAAGATTAATCAACAGAATCACAGACAGCACCAACCATACCCATTAGAGGAAAAGATGATAGGAAAGGTAAGAACACAAGTAACACCACAAAGATCAACACAACACCAGTAAAACCTAAAGACACTACAACAGCAGGATTTGAACAACCAAATATTGATGAAGGAGAAAAAAGGACCTAAAAAATAACTTCAGGAGAATGTTTTAAACTCTTAAAATTTCTCTTAAAGAGAAATTCCCTCAAAGAAATGGAAGAAAAGACAAATAAAAAATTGAAAGACATCAACAAATTCTTTAAAGAAAATCAAGAAAAAGTAACCAAACATATGAAAGAAACTATTCAAGACTTGAAAACTGAAATAGAGACAATAAAGAAAACACAGGTTGGGGGAATTATAGAAACAGAAATCATGAAAAAATGATAAGGAAACGCAAATACAAGCATGAAGAACAGAATACAAGAGATGGAAGAGAGAATCTCAAGCTCTGAATATACAATAAAGAAAATAGACTTGTCAGTCAAGGAAAACATTAAATCTAGCAAAAACTAAACCAAAAATATCCAGGAATATATATAGGACACCATGAAAAGGCCAAATCTAAGAATAATAGGTATAGAAGAAGAAGAAAAAAGTTCAACTCAAAAGCACAGAAAATATATTTAACAAAATAATAGAAGAAAACTTTCCTATTCTAAAGGAAGATATGCTTATGAAGATACAAGAAGCTTACAGAACACCAAATAGACTGGATAAAATATAGTCCCCTCACCACATAATAATCAAAACACTAAACATACAGAGTAAAGAAAGAATATTAAGAGCTGCAAAGGAAAAAGACCAAATAACATATAAAGACAAACCTATCAGAATTACACCTAACTTTTCATAAGAGACAAGGAAAGTCAGAAGGTAATGGTCAAGCATTATGCAGACATTAAGAGACCATGGATGCCAGCCCAGATTACTATATCTAGCAAAACTTTGAATTACCATAGAAGAACAAAACAAAATATACCCTGACAAAACCAGATTTAACCAATGCCTAGCCACACACCCAGCATTACACAATATACTAGAAGGAAAACTCTAACACAAGGAAGTTGACTACATCAAAAAAACACAGAAATTTGATGGTTTCATAGCAGCAAATCCCAAAGAAGGCAAAAATGAACAAATTAGCATCACCAACAATGAAAACTAAATCACTTATATCCCTTAATATAAATGGACTCAACTCACCTATAAAAAGGCACAACCTGACATATTGGGTATGAAAACAGAATCCATCCTTCCTCTGCATACAAGAAACACATCTCAAACTCAAAGACAGTCATTGTCTCAGAGTAAAGGGTTAAAAATTCCAATCAAATTAACCTAAAGAAACAAGCAGGTGTAGCTATTCTAATTTCTAACAAAATAAACCTCAAACTAAAATCAATCAAAAGAGACAAAAAAGGACATTTCATATTAGTCACAGGAAAAAAAAATCCATCAACAGGAAATCTCAATAGTGAACATCTATGGTCCAAATACCAAGGGCTGTTTTCTAGGACATTGATCTTTAAGTTTTTCCCCTTAAATAAATAACCTTTTTATTAATCATAATTCCAAACTGTTCTGGGATTGTTGTGTAACTTAAACCTTCATCTGACACCCAACGTTTGGTTTTAAAACCTCCCAGTTCAGCTGCTTGCCATCCATTCACCTCTCATTGAGTTATTGATTTAAAGGATTGTTTCTACACTATACCTTTACAAGAAAAGAATAGAGATATATTTGCCATCACAGTGCCTATTTATAATAATTCTCAGCCTACTAGAAGATATCAATGGACTATCCTCCCACAGGGAATGCTCAGTAGCCCTACACTGTGCCAATTCTTTGTTAGCCAGTCATTGGAAATAATTCATAAGCAATTTCCTAAGTCTATAATCTACCATTTCATGGATGACATTTTGTTATTTGATTAAAATAAAGATATTTTCGAAAGGATGTTTGAAGAGGTGAAGAAAGTCTTGCCTAAATGGGGATTACAAATTGCTCCTGAGAAGATTCAAAGAGGAGATTCTGTTAATTACCTAGGTTACAGAATAGGTTCACAGAAAATTGGAACACAAAAGGCACAAATTTGGAGAGACCAGTTGCGGACTCTTAATGACTTTCAAAGATTATTAGGTGACATTTCCAGTCTATGACCGGCTGTTGGGATAACACCTCATCAAATAATTCATTTAAACAAAATCTTACATAGTGATAAAGACTTGAATAGTACCAGAAAATTAACATCTGAAACAGTAAAGGACTTGACAATTGTTGAGGAGAAATTACAGGAGGCACATGTGGATAGGGTGAATCCAAATCTTAATTGTATTCTAGTCATATTACCTTTCAAAATTTCTCCTACAGGAATTTTAATGCAGAGGGATGATATTATCTTAGAATAGATCTTTTTACCACATAAACCAAGTAAAAAACTAAAAACCTATGTGGACAACATCTCTGAATTAATTATAAAAGGTAAGTTGAGACTTCTTTAATTAGCAGGTATAGACCCAGCAGAGATTATAGTGCCTTTTACTGTTGATGAAATAAAAAAGGTTATGGGAAGACAATGAAGCCTTGCAAAGAGCTTGTGCTAATTTTTTGGAAGAAATTAATAGCAATTATCCCAATAACAATAGAATTAACCTTATAAAGAGAACTTCATGGATTCTTCCCTGAATATTATGTGATGCATCAATAACTGGAGCTCATACATTTTATACTGATGCAAATAAATCAGGAAAGGCAGGTTAAAAATCAGATGAATTAAGTAAGGTGGAACAAAGCTATTCTTATGGTCCTAAGGGATTTTAAAGACGCTCTCAATATAGTTACTGATTTGCAATATGCAGAAAGAGTTATCTTGCATTTTAAAATTGCTGAACTTATACCAGATAATACAGAATTGGCTTCATTATTCATCCAGGTGCAAGACATGATCAGGAATAAGCTTTGTTCTATATACCTAACTGCTGTGGGAGTGCCAGCCCACTCTGCTGCAGGATCACCTTCCACTCCTTCAGCC